GAGAGAGAGAGAGAGTGGGAAAGTGAGAAAGCAGGCTGACGAGGTCCGGAACTCAAACTGTGGTCAGCCATGTGGGAGTGTCCAGCACCTTAACCACCATGCCACCTGCTGGTCCCCACATTTTCCTAGTAGTTTTTACTGTATTTTGCAAAAGTATCATTTTAGGGCCAGCCAATGGCATAGTGGTCAAAGTGGCTGAATCCCACATGGACAACTGTGTGGTTCAAGTCTGGACCGAGAGGCTTGGAAAACATGCTGGGAGTGCTTGTGTGCATGCCCAAAATCCTGAGGAGGGATTGTGGTGTGGCCATCACCCCTGAGGGGGTGATATCTCGCTTTCTGTCTGTCTCTCTGGCAAGCTCATGTCCCCTATAGCAAAAACAAACATCAGAAATTAAAATAAATAACTGGTCCTTCACCAGAGGTTTGAGAAACACCGTTCTGGAGAGATTAGTAACATGACGGCTAAAGGCATGGACTCAGAACAAGACTGAGTTTAAATCTCTATGCCTCCCTTTCTCTATCTGTAAAATGGATGTCATATGGTGCTTACTTTATGGGTATATTGAAAGGATTAAATGAGTTAACTGATAAGTGGTGAGTATTCAGTAAGTCCTAACTTACTATGTTACCCATTAGTAGAACTATCACCTCATTTCTCAGAAATGCCTTATTAGGATATGTTTAATTGGTCAGGTGAAATCTGGACTCAATTTTTCAGTTTTATATCTATGTAAAACTGGTGTTCTGTCAAATACTTAATCTTTCTGTCCAGGATGGTGGGTTTCTGTATCACTTAAGATACTAATGTTATGCTACCTTCTAAAGTATATAGTTTTAGCTTACATTTGGTCAATATATTTTGAGTTAATTTTTGCATATGGCTGGAGACAGGGTCCTAAATTCATTTACTTTGCATATAGAGATTCAAGTTGTCCCAGCACCATTCATTGAAAAGACTCTTACCCTCATTGAATAGCCTTAGCGTCCTTGTTGAAACTCAACCAACTGTATATTGAATTTTTACAACATGCATTGCTGTTTAAGGAAGTATATTGTGTATATGTTCATCTGTGTTGTGTTGCATGTATTTAAAAATAATCTGTTAAGTCTTTAGATCTGTCCTGGACTTTAGTATTTCTTAGATGAGGCAGGATATACGGTATGTAAAAACTCATTCTACTTCTCTTCTTTCCTCCCCAAGATGTATTTAAGCTTAATGACAGTCCTCCTAAGGCCTTCCAAATATGTGGAAATCTCACAAGTCCGAAGATGTTAAATGGTGGGAGATCTGTCTACAATTGATAATGGAGTGGGAGGAGGAGTATCTGGATGAGAAAAGAAGAAAACAAACAATTTCAGTCTTTGCTGCCTCTACCCTCCCTGCAATGATACCCAACAAACTCCAGTTTACAGAAAAACTGAATTTAACGGGAAAAACCATTAGCTTAAATTAGTGTCTTTAATGCACACAGAGCATTCTGCTGTGAAAGAACATGATTCTAGGCCAGCTGGTGGTGAGGTACTTAAGGAAGCTGGATCCCACATGGCCAATGGTATAGTTCAAGTCCTGGAACCGGTGGCTTGAAAAACATACTGGGTGTGTGTGTATATGTGTGTGTGCATGCCCAAAGTCTTGAGAGGAGAATGGAGAAGGGACTGCGGCATGGCCATCTTCCCTAGGGGGGTTCTTTCTCACTCTTCCTCTCTCTCTGGAAATGTACATGCCCTATAGCAAATTAAAAAAAAAAATAAGGGCTGGCAGATAGCATGGTGGTTAAGGTGCTGGACTCCCACATGGTTGGCCACGGATCGAGTACTGGACCTGGTGGTTTACTTTCTCACTTTCCCTCTCTCTCTCTAGTCAAATAATAAATAATAATAACAAATACAATTAAATAAATCATAAAACAAAACACAAAAAACAGGATGCTAGTATTCTGTAGATGGCTGTAGGGTATATAGAGTAATGGATACTTTCTGTCTTGCAAATGAAGTATACTACCAGAAGAAATATTTTTGAAGAAGCGAAGTCCAAAGAAACTAGCGATAGATTTGTAACATTTTTATTATGTAAAATATTAGCAAACTCCAAAGTACAATAGTACTTATTTTTTTGCTTGAAGATCGTATCTTCTCTAGTTTACCTAACAATGACATTCACCACAGCTGGAGGAAATTAAACTGAACCTTTAGGAGGTATCGCATACGGACCTGATTGGGGTTATAGACAATAAATTCATTGTAGTTGAGGGTGTAACCCTCTGGATTCAGAATTCCTGTCTCACTTGCTGGTCCCAAGGGCACTGTGCTGCCATTCCTGCCAAATGGAAGAAAGTATCAACATCAGCCTCTGGTTTAGAAGTTGGAGTGGAGAAAGTAGAGTCTTATTTGACCAAAAGGAAGTTTCTCGCCCTCTTGGGTCTGAGTACTTACAGGGTGACGAAGGAGGCAGGACTGGGAGCCATCTTGCCCAGCCCCTTGGTGCTGTGTTTGCCTTGAAGTAATCCTTCTGCCTTAGGATTGGCCTCTAATAGCTCATTACACTGACCGAGAGCAACCTGCAAAGCAAAAGATCTTTTTACTTTTTATTTTTTTTTAAATAAAATTGTTTTTCAGTTTTTCAATGAGCTATGGGTAGGGCCAGCAAATCAAAAAATTTTTTTTTTTTTTTTTTTAAGATACTTTTTGCTATAGGGTGTGTGCTGGAGAGACAAATAGTGAGAAATCGCCCCCCAGAGGGGATGGCCACACTGCAATCCCTTCTCCTCCATTCTCCTCTAGGATTTTGGGCATGTGTGCACAGGTGCCCAGTGTGTTTCAAGCTGCCAGGTCCAGGACTCAAACCACGGTCGACTATGTGGGAGTCCAACGACACAAGCATCATGCCATCTGCTGGTCCCATAAAAGATCTCTGAATGCACACTTCTACTGAGTAGATGGCTCTAAAGCCAAACAGAAAATCCTATCAATACTCTTCCCCTGCTCTAGCAAAAGAATCCAGTGCACTTGGCTCCTCTTTCGAGTTATCCCATGTAAGCTTACTGGTTCTGGGGTCAAACTTTTCTCATTGAGAAAAGGCAGGAATCAATAATAAACTAGAGATCACTGATGTGTTTCTGCCTCACCTCTGATAAGAGCAGCAGTCCTGTATCCTTTAGGCGAGAGGCAAAGCAGTAATTGGCACTTTTGGAAGACATGTCAGCAAAGTAGATTCCTTTCCCAAACTGAAATATATGAACACCAAGATTGTTTGCTTAAGCCACTGTGGAAGAAGAAAGGCTCATACCATTGACCCTGTTTTCTCATTCTCTTAAACACGACATAGACCCTTCTCTATCTCCACAATTCTGTTCCAGAGAGGTTAGTAGCATCTGTGAATCTCTGTCTTCTAGGGGGAAGGAAAGCTATCATTAGGAATTTAAAGAAAGGGAAGATAGGGAGCACACCATGCAGCAACACAACCAGACCCTCAGAGGAAGGTCCCCAGTTCATGTCTCGGGGCCTCTGTATATACGCTGAGCTGCACGTGATCCAGGCTGGCTGAGACTGAGAATGGATCATGGCACACAGACCTTGTTAGGGGTGCCTGTTTCTGTCTGTTCTCTCTCTCTCTCTCAGAAGAAATAATAAACTTTATAAAGCAGGGAGACAGTAAGATATGACAGTGTTATCAGTGAGCTAGCTTAATTCTTGAGGAAGAGCACCGCTTCATTCCAATCTACACACACACAAAGACAAGACCGTCATTGCATCCTTTTCCCTGTGCTCCTCTCAGAGCTCAGCTTCTACTCACCATGTAACCTGTGATAGGAGCCTCAGGTGGGGCAACTCGGAGCCCATGGCTCAGGATCCCCACCCAGTTACTCAGCCTGGAACCGTGCCATAACAGCATCCTAAGGAAAAGCCAGCATTACTTTACTCTGCTGTTCTCCTGCAAACACAGGCCACAGCATAAAGCCTACAGGCACCTCTGCCACCCTTCTGAGTTCTGTAACTGCATTTCAGGCAAGGCTCAGACCTGTTAGGAAGGTCCGCTCTGAAGGCTTCTTTTTCACCCTCCTTCTCTACTTTGAAAACATCCAGCAAGGTCATGGTGTAGTCACTGTGCGTAGGAGCATGGGTAGACTGTAGGTACTGGGAAATCACCTGCGGGGAAGAACGGAGGAAATGGCTTGTGAGGGCCCTATGAGGCTGGGCTGAACTGAAGAACTCAGGGCTTCTGGTGTAACCAGGCAGACCTTTCTGCTCCCAAATGATCTCACAGGGCAGTTCAAAAAACCTCTATCTTCCAATTCCTAGTAAACTGAAATTTTGCGCTAGTTAACACTGCTTTTAACCAGAAGTAGTCAGAGAATAATGGCACAGGGGAAGAGTACGTCTCAAGAAGGTAAGAGTATGAAAATAAATGACCACTTTTCATACTTTGAACTCATGGCTTTCATGGTCTAGAGGGCACAAGGCACAGTGCAGGTTTCTGTAGTGTTGGTCCAGTGGGTGTTCAGGGCTCTGTAGCTCTGTCTTCACCAGCTTAATGGCAATTTCAATGTCTCCCAAAGCCTGAGAAGATGAGACACACAGTCAATGTGGGAGGAACCCGGTGTACGAGACGTGCTACTTCCCAATTCAAACATTTCTCACCTCGAGCAGTTGGACTTTGTCTGACAGTTCTTTCTCTGTCCGGATTAATGGAGGGGTACGAAGTCTAAGAACAGAGGATTAACCCATAATGAGATTTCTCATATGTGGCTTAAAGGCACATGACTAAAAACAAACACAAGGTAATTCTTTTAGAAAACAGGTTTAAGAGGGCCAGCAGATGGTGTGGAGGTTAAAGTGGCTGGATCCCACGTGGCAAACTGCCAATTCAAGTCCTGAACCCAGCTGCTTGAAAAATATGCCAGGTGCATGGGTGAAAGCACCCAAAATCCCAAGAGAAAAGAGGAGAAGGGAGTGTGGCATGGCCACCCTTGGCGGGGTGATTTCTCACATTCTCTGTGCCTTTCCAGCAAGTGCACGTACCCTATAACAAAAACAAAACAAAAACAAAACAAAAAAAGCAAAAAGCTTTATCAATATCAAAAAGGAATAGCTTGGTTGCATTCCTATTTAGAAGCAGAGGTAGACCTGACCACTCAAAGTGATTTCTAGGTCACAGGACTTTATAAAGCAATAGAAGAAATGGAAATAGCATGAAAAGGGCTGGCCTCAGAGCCTACTGGGTAAGGAGATGAGATCTCAAAAGGTCAACTGCAGTTCAAATCTCAGCTCCAGCACTTTGAAAAACATCCTGGGCACATATGCATGCATGCCCAAAATTCTGATGGGCAGGAGAAATGGAGGAAAGGGATTGTGGCATGGCTTCTCCCCATTGGGAGATGCCTCCCTACAGACCCCAGCATGTGCACCCTCTGGCAATTACAAAGTTTAAAAAAAAAAAGAAAAAAAGCCCGAAAACCAGAATATGAAATCAATCAAGATGAAATGTATTTAATGTATCTATTATTTAAATTCACAGAAATGATGTTAATATGGCTATTGTCAACTTAAAGAGTAAGCAAAGGGGGTAACATGCCTGAAGGTGTTTTATTTAGTAGTTGGATAGGTAGGCCCATTCTCTCCTGAGCTAGTGAAGTTTATTTGGTCAGGGAATATAGCTATAAACAGGCCAGGAGATTGCATCCCACATGTGTAAGCTGATTAAACAGGCTATGTATAAATTATTCTGGCTCTCAATCTATTTAAAATGATCACTTCTTTAGGAATAAAAGATTAAAACAATGGGGACCAGCAGATGGCGTAATGGTTACGTTGCTGGACTCCCATGGAGTCCACTGTGGTTTGAGTCCTAGGCCCAGCAGCTTGAAATTCATACCAGACACATGTGCATGCGTGCCCAGGATCCCGAGAGGAGAATGGAGAAGGGACTGCGGCATGGCCATCCCCCGGTGGGGTGGTTTCTTGCTTTCTGTTTCTTTGTCTTTGGTGAGTGCACCTGCCCTATAGCAAAAATCCCTCTTAAAAAAAAAAGGTTAAAACAGTCTCTGCTGGTTGATTAAGGAAGGGGGTATGAACGTGAAGGAACAATAAGTCTTACCCAAAGTCATGTGGAATCCTGGTGTAGAATTCATTGCATGCTTCTATGAGAGCTCGTCCATGCTGGCCAGCCCGGATACAATCCTCAATCTTCTTAAGAGACTGGTAACCTGCCTTGATTTGTGCCACTGTCAGCTTCCCTGCAGACCCAGCCAGAGGTCAGATTCCAAACTAGGGCCCCGTTCTGTAAACTGTACTTCCATCCCTACCCAACAAAGATGCTCACCTTTCAACTTTCAAAACTGTTTCTCCCCCCTCCACATAACCTCTCACCCTAACCTGTATTCTTCATTCAGCACTATCAGCAAGCTTGAAACCATGATGAAATATCTTGTTAAAGAAACTAGGAAATATGGGGACCAGCAATTAGCGTAATGGCTATGTTGCTGGACTCCCATGTAGTTGACCGCAGTTTGAGTCCCGGACCTGGGGGCTTAAACTCATACCGGGCACATGGGCGTGCGTGCCCAAGATCCTGAGAGGAGAATGGAGGAGAAAGGATTGTGGTGTGGCCATTCCCCCTGGAGGGTGATTTCTCGCTTTTTGTCTCTCTGTTTCTCTCTGTCTTTCTGGCGAGCGCACGCACACTATAGCAAAAACCTCTCTAAAAATAAAAAGAAACTAGGAAATATGAAGAGAAAATATAAGACAGAATCTGAAATCCTACCAAGTGGGGCTTTTTTAATATCATACTTCATTTCTATCATCATCTCTTCCATGGCCTGGACATTACAGATCAATTTGATCAGCTCCTGTACCCGAAGATCCAGCTTTGATTCTGGTTTTGAAGGAGATTTTAAAGATTGTTCTTTTTTTGCTTCCTCTTCACCCTATAGCAAAAACATTAAAGATACATACATATATATATATAAATAAAAGATCTACTTTTCTTTTTAAGTTTTTAGAGTCAGGGTTTCACTATGTCATAGTCCTCCTGCCTCAACCTCCTAAGTATCTGGGAACCAGATATATGCCATCAAGCCTAGCTCTCTCAGGGTCTCACTATGTTGCCCAGGACAGCCACGAGCTCATGATCCTCTCGGATTACAGGCATGTACCACCTCACATGGCCTTTAGGTGGGATCAGTACTCGATCCTGGGTTTCCCATGTGGACCCAACCCATCGAGCAGTGTGTGTCGCCATGGCTGGGCCTGACAGGATCTATTCAAGGCCTTGCAAGGAGTGGCATCTGAGTAGTGAACATCAATCATCCTTTGCTTAAAACAAGTACATTCTATTATTAACCTAATTAGAATACTCGAAGTGACTTGATAGTCTAGTACTAGTTCTGCTTCCCACAGTTAAACACTCAGAATTAGTTTAAAAGGGCCTCCTAATGATGTGGTTAAGCATGTGAAGACAGTTATCACATCTCAAATCTTTTCATCTTAAAAAAGACTAAGACTTGAGGCTAGTAGGTGGCATGGTGGTTAAAGTGCTGGACATCCACTTGGCTGACAGTGGTTCAAATCCTGGATCTGGTGGCTTGAAAATCATGCAGGACACATGTCTGTGAGTGCTCAAAATCCTGAAAGAAGAATTGAGGAGAAAGGATGGCGTGTGGCCATTCACCCCAAGAGGGTGATTTCTATCTCTCATTGGTGAGCATACATGCCCTATGGCAAAAATGTGGAAAAAAAAAAAAAAAAGACTCAAGATTTCTTCATTCAGAAATGTGACAGTTGCATTGTGTCAAAACTGACTATTTACTGTGTTACATAACCAGAGGTGAACACAACTTTAAATGTCATTTTATCAGTTTATTACTCTTCTCCTGGTCCAAAATATTAAACTTCTAGAAACAGGATTCCAAAAGAACTTCAGCAAATCAGAGCACAGACTACAAAGGCACATTTTGTCCTTATTCTTACCAGCCCTTGGGATGATAAAGATCAGTGAGAATTGCCTCTGAGGGGGAAAACAGCAGCAACTCAAGATATTCTGGCCTGTTCTGGTCTAGGACTGATCTAAGCTATTGTGCTAAACTCTACCTGATTCAGAGGAAACAGCTTTTCCCCCCCCGCAAAGGAATAATCACAGTTTACCTGAGTACTGCTGGCATAGTCCATCTGCAGGATATCATATTTCCCAGGCACCTTCTCGAACTTCTCCCGATCCTCCCAATTGTTCTTTGTTTTGTCAAGAAATCTGTAGCGCATGTGGTGGTGAGACAACCTTGTAAGTGCTGGTCTACTATTAGGAGTGGACTTACAACTATTTCCTTAGAAAATATTTTTTTAAAGTTATTTCCCACCACAGAATTCCTTTACACAACACTTTCCATAAATCTGAATTCTAAATTAGGACTGAATAGACAGAAAAGCTCTGGAGACAACAGGGATACAACAAAAAAGGAAAAAAAAAAAAAATAAAAGACCCCTGAGCTTCCCAGTACCCACCCTCTCAAAAAAAGCACAAAAGACACTGAAATTTAAAAGATCCGTTCAATTTCTTTCTCTGAAAAAAAAAAAAAAGTTCCCAGAGACTCTAGAGAGTTCTTGATCTAGATCACAGTAAAAGATTTAAAACTTGGGGCCAGGGGACTAGCAGACAGCATAGCGGTTAAATCTCTGGACTCCCACCAGGTCAACTGTGGTTTGAGTCCTGAACCTCGTGGCTTGAAACTCATGCTGGGTGTGTGTGCATGCGTGCCCAAGATCCCAGAAGAATAGATTTCAGTGTAGCCATCCTGGGGGATGATTTCTCACTTTCCCTCTTACTGTCACTGTCTCTCTCAAAAAACAAAACAAACAAAAAAACTCAGGGGGGATGATCAGATGATATAATGGTTACGTCCCTGGACTCCTATGTGGTCAACCACGGTTCGAGTACTGAACCCATGAGCATGCCCAAAATCCCAAGACTAGAACGGAGGAGAAGGGACTGTGGCATGGACATTCCCCATGGGGTGTGATTTCTCACTTTCTCTCTTTCTTTCTGGCAACTGCATGTGCCCTACAGCAAAATGTATCAAAACAAACAAACAAACAAAAACTCAAGGCCACTAGGTGGCATAGTAGTTAAGGTGCTGGACTCCTATGTGGTTGACTGCGATTTAAGTCCCGGACCCGGTGGCTTGAAACTTATGTGCGGTGCGTGTGCATGCACGCCCAAAATCCCAACAAGAGAACAGAGGAGAGGGGACTGTGGCATAGCTATCCCCACTAGGGAGTAATTTCTTGCTTTTGGCTCCCTGTCTCTCCAGCAAGCACATGTGCCCTATAGCAAAAATCTCAAAAAAATTTTACAACTTTAGCTAGATATTCTCTACCCCATGATGGGCTCCACTTGCTTTAAAGTTCCTAGATTTCTTTCTTTTTTGGAAGGTAGTGGTGGGGAGAGGTTTTGCTATAGAGCGCATGTGCTTGCCAGAACGACAGAGAGAGACAGAGGGACAGAAAGTGAGAAATCACCCCCTAGGGGGGATGGCCACGCCACAATCCCCTCTCTTCCATTCTCCGCTGGGATTCTGGGGCACATGTGCACACGTGCCCAGCTTGAGTTTAAGCTACCAGGTCCAGGACTTGAACCATGGACAACCACATGGGAGTCCAGCAACGGAGCCATTATGCCATCTGCCGGTCCCTAAAGTTTCTAAATTTCTTGTTAAGTGTGTTAAATGTATTAAATTTCTTTGTTTTTAGTCAAAAAGGTTGACTTGATTTGATTAGCAAGTAAGGATGCAGTTTGGCGTGTTAACCACTGAGCATCAGAGTTAAAAGACATTAATATTTAGGAGAAAAACCATCAGTGTTATTATGAAATTCTTAAAAAAGATACATCCAAGAAAAAGAAGAGTACTTTTCTGTACTCATTTCTTAGCACTCACTTCTTCTGAAAGATTTCCTTGGCTTTGTTGAGGTTGCCTGAACAAGCCACCAAGCTGTGTTGCCCAATTTTCCCAACTGCAAAGCAAATACAACATGTAAGATGGTTCCTTGGCTTCCAACTGAAAAACGGCTCCATAATAGTAAGGATCCAGCTCTCTAGCAGGTAGGAAAGGGATCTGAGAAACACGAAAGAGCCTAGGGAACTGGACATGTCAATACAAATTACCTGCTAACTGTCATGGCTTATGAGCAATACTAGCAGTCCGAACACAGTAGAGTTCTCGGCCTCGGTGGGCTCCCCTTAGTTCTTAGTGAGGATGCCGGTCATTCTCTAATTTCAAAAAGCCTATCTTGATTCCTAAGCCACATCGAGACATCAAAGCCTCCATCCACTCAATTTAAAACTAAAGGATCCCTTGGCCACTAAGCTGCTTCTGGCTTTCTGAATGACAACTCATAAAATCTGTAAGTCCTTGGGACCAGCAGTTAGCGTAATGGCTATGTCGCTGGACTCCCACATAGTTGACCATGGTTCGAGTCCCAGACTGGGTGGCTTAAAACTCACGCCGGGCACGTGTGCGTGCGTGCCCACGATCCCCAGAGGAGAATGGAGGAGAAGGGATGGCATCATGGCCATCCCCCCTAGGGGGTGATTTCTCGCTTTCTGTCTCTCTATCTCTCTCTGTCTGGCTGGCAAGCGCACGCGCCCTATAGCGAGAAACTCTCAAAAAAAAAAAAAAAAAAAAAAAAGAAATCCGTAAGTCCTTACCACGGCCCCATCTCATCCAAACACTGAAGTTCCTCTGGGCATCATCTTCTAACAACTGAATCAGATAGTACTTGTTGTTGTTGAACTGGAGATTTGTCTATAATGCATAGAAGGAAGATGAACATAAAAGGAAGACGGGTTTGCAGATGGCAGTCACACAAACCAATGACTTCCCTGGGCAGTGGTGCCAGTCATTTTCATAAGGACAGGGATGGCACAGGGCAAGAAAAGCACACTCTGGGCTGGCTGGAGTGGCCTAGTGGTTAAGGGATCTGGATCCTATATACTTAACTGGGATTTAAATCCTGGCCCTGGTGGCTTAAAAATATGCCAGGTGCATGTGCATGCATGCCTCAAATCTTGACAGGATGGAGAAATGGAGTGGGAGAGTGGCAGGATCACACCCCACCGCGAGGTGCTTTCTCCCACTCTCTGTCATCTCTGGCAAGTGTACATGTCCTGTGGTAAACTTTTTTTTTTTTTAAATTTTTCCTATAAGGCATGTCGCCTGTCAGAGAGAAACAGATACAGACACCGAGACGGAGAGAGAGGGTGAGAGTGAAAGTGAGAAATCACCCCCAGAGGCATGGCCACACCACAGTGCCTTCTCTTCTTAGGATTTTGGGCACATGCCCCCCCATTTCATTTTTAAGCTGTAAGGTCCAGGATCTGAACTGCAGTCAGTCATATGAGATCCAGCACCTTAATCTCCAAGCCACTTACTGGTCCCCTGGCAGAATTTTTTAAAACAAACAAACAAAAAAAGGGATTACTATAAGACATAATAGAAAAATATAAGATTTATATACTAAACCTTGGATTCTTAGGAATTAAGTTAGGATTATTAGGTGGCTGGAACTTACTAAAACACTATCCAGTCTCAGATATCCTATACTGACTGGCTCCTCCTACCTCAGCTCCCTCTGTAGATATTTCTAGGCCAGCTCCGATCCCTTTCCCACTAATCATTTCCCAAGTAAAAACAACTGTGATGCTCCAAAGGTCTATAACTATCATGCTTGTTTAGTTACATGATTTACTCTTTGATAGTTCTACTTATGGCTTTGGTTTGCCAGTTTCACAAACCTGACAATGAGATGAGAGCAGGACAATGTTGGGGTTGGGGGAAGGACATACAGAAACTACTGCCACATTTTTGCCCCATGCCTAACAGGACCCAACTTGGAGACATTCAGAGCGACTATAACTCCTATGTTAAAAAGGGGTATCTGTAAGTAACTCACTCAGAGTGAAAAGAAAGAGCAGTCCAGGGAGAGGCACGGTAGCCAGTGCTGTAAGGCCAAGCCTTGTTATAGAGTCCCTCTTTTAGTAAGGCACTCCTCACCTTTCTACTATTACTTCCTGCCTCCTCACATAATACTCACTGCATGTTAGAACAAAAAGGAGCCCTGGGGACCAGCAGATGGCATAATGGTTATGTCGCTGGACTGCCACTGTGGACTATCTTGTGCCCAAGATCCCAAGAGGAAAATGGAGGAGAAGGGATTGCGGCGTGGCCATCCCTCCGGGGGGCCACTTCTTGCTTTCTGTCTCTCTGTCTCTCTCTGTCTTTCTGGTGAGGGCACTGCCCGCAAACAAAAGTCTCTCAAAAAAAAAAAAAAAAAAAAAAAAGGATGTATGTTGGATTAGTAAGTTTAAATATGAAGTGATATCCGGGAAATATATTAATGAGGCAAATGTACTATCTATTCAAAACTACAAAGATGAAAGAAAAATGTTAATTAAAAAGAAAAAAAAATAAATCTAACTATATAAGAGTTTAAAATTTCATTCAGTATGGATACAAAGTAAGCCACAGGAAAATCGAAAGACAAATGAAAACCTTGGAAAACATATAGGCAATTCATATTACAGTTCAAAGGCTACTCTCCATATTTTAGGAAGTTGCGCAGTTAGAAATGATATCTTTAGAAAATGTCTACTATCTTTTGCACATTTAATGTGCAGAAGATATTTTTTAAAATGTGCAAAGTCCTGGGACTTTGTTTGAGTCCTGGGACGCAGCAGCTTGAAATTCATGCAAGGTAAATCCTGGGAGAGTGGAGAAGAAGGGATTGGGACATGGCCATCACCCCTGGGGAGTGATTTTTCCCTTTTTCTCTGTCTCTGTCTTTCCAGTGAGTACATGTACCCTACAGCAAAAATCTCTCTTAAACAAGAAAGAAACAAAGAAAAAAAGAAAGAAAATATGCAAAAGGATATGAACAGAGAATTCACATGTTCAATATGACATGAAATTTGTGCAAAGATTGGCATCTCTTGCTGGCTCCATAGCACAATAGTGAAGTGCTATCCAGGGAGCCAGCCAGATCCCACATGGCAAACCATGGTTTAAGTCCTGGCCTTGGAGGCTTGAAAAGCATGCTGGGCAAGTGTGTAAGCATGCCCAAAATCATGATGAGATGAAGAAATGGAGGATAAGGATTATGGTGTGACCATGTCCCACTGGGGGATGCTTACTCCCTTTCTCTTTCTGGAGTGTATATTCCCACTGGCAATTAAAAAAAAAAAACAAAAAAAACACAACTGCTTCTCTTGGAGGACTTCACTATCAGGTAGAGTGCACTAGGCCTGAGTGTTCAGGTATGAAACACTAGTGACTAAATATAAGGGATTTCAGAACTAAAGACCTGGATGTCGGGATGTTCTCAATAATCATCAGGAGAAATTTCCATAAGTAAAATGAGTCCTTCTCTTACCTGATTTAGCATTACATCATAGACATCATTTCCTTCACAATACACATGAGCCTAGAGAAAGAGAAGAAAAACAAAAAAATATATACAAGTGTAGACTCAGCCCTGGAATCTAAGTGAGGTGCGAAATTTTTTTCATGCCTCAAGCATCATTCTCTAACACTGTCAACATCCATCTGCCAGGGACAGGAATGCAAATAAATGTCCTACATACAGCCTATTTTAACTATAATGAAACATGCTGCCTTTTTCTAATTATAGAACAAAAAATTCTAACTCAGTTAAAGGAAATCTGCTCCGGAGGTAGTCCTGTATTCTTCACATTTTTTTCCCATTCATCAGTAACTCTTGCTATGCCAGAGCATGGTTTGTCATTAGATAAGAAGACAGTTTTCCCTTAATAATGACACCATTTTATGGTTGAAAAAGTGAGTGAGGTATGAAAGGTTACCAAAACGGTAACCATGTTAAAAACACTCTGATTATGAACCCTATGCTCTGCCACTCCCAACCCTCAGCCTTGGAAAAAATTTATCACTAGTGGTATCCTGGAAAACATTCCTAAAATGAGTAAGAGCAATATCCTAGACAGGAATCCTAATAACACCACACCGTTCTCTGACAAATCAGTGGACAGAGAGGACTGGTTTCAGAGTCTCTTACCTTCCCCACCTTGGCCTTACACTCGGGATCAACGGGAGCTTTGCCCTTCAACAGCAAGTTCCTTACAGATTCTGAGGAAAGACAGATGCACACTACAGTTACTTGGAAGGGAATGAAAAGTAGCCGTCATGGTTAGAAACCTGACATCCTTAAACTCTGCCCTTCTCAAGCAATCCTGATCTTTTGCCTAGGTCTCAACAGGTTTCAAATACATGAAAATGAAGATGTGTGAAGGTAGATTAGTCCTGTAGTATGCTCAAAGGATAGAGAAATTAATAAATTGTATCGTTGGGACCAGCAGATGGCATAAGGGTTACGTTATTGACTCCCACATAGTCAACCGCAGTGTGTGCAGGGTTACGTTGTTGACTCCCACATAGTCAACCGCAGTGTGTGCTCAAGATCTTAAGAGGAGAGTGGAAGAGAAGGGATTGCTGTGTGGCCATCCACCCGGGACATGATTTCTTGCTTTCTATCTCTGTCTGTCCAGCAAACGCATGTGCCCTAAAGCAAAAATCTCTCAAAAAATAAATAAATAAATCGTATCATCAAGGAAGAAATAAGATATGGGAAAAAAAGTTATCACCGGCACCCCTCCAGAGACCCTCTTGCTCGCCCATTCTTCCCCGGCCTACCACTTTGTTTGACTTCTTTCCCGTCCTCATCAGTCTTTCCTCTAGTCACTGGCTCCTTTTTCACCCTCTGCCTCTGGCATCTCACAGTTCTCTTAGCAGGAGGAGAGTCTTCTGGAGCTGGGTTGTCATTAACTCTCTCGGTTTCATTTAATGCTATTGAATCTAAGGGTGAGAACAATGAGCAAAGAGGAATGAGTACACACTGAATACAACCCTATGCTGAAAAAGACTCTATTTTAAAGAAACAATTTAAGATGGTAGTGTAAGTTTACAAAGATATGTAACTGCCACACCACTCGTGTGAATAAACCTTCCTAAATTGATATTCTAGCCAAATAAAACTAAATGAAACCCCAGGGCGCTTATGAATTCATGGCCTGAGGCAGTTAGCAGAGTGGCAGTGCCTTGCTCAGAGCCTAGATCTGCTGCTTCAAGCTAAGGAAGCTTGGAGAAGTTATTTGATTTTGTACCTCATCTATCCCTACTGTAAGGTCCAGAGGATGCCAATAATAGTTCCTAGCATATGGGGTGGGCCTATGTATTCGAGAACATAAAACAGACTGCTGAATCTCAATCATTCTAACACTTGCGTTTTGCTCCCTCTGAAACTGGATGTGTCACGTCTTACAATGGACGACAGGTAAGCAGCGAACCATTTACCTGGAGGTGTTCCTCCTTTCTTAACGGTACATAAACCTTACAATGAATGGTTTTCAACTGGATGACATCAGGTATTAAGAACAGTACCAGCACGACGTTCGTTGTTACAGATACAAAAGTCTTTACACTCCTATAATCCCCAAAATTTGAAAACTAGCATCTAAACTAGTCTGGTAGCCAAAAGCAGGCCACGGAGAGCTGGAAGAGGTTGGCCCAGGATAGGAGGCACGTCTTCTCTCCCCACACCCCGTCACCAGCATCCGCGCCCAAACATCGCGCTCCGAACCTCGCGCGCGCTTGCCGCTCGTCCCTCGCCGGCGCGCCGCCATTGCGTCGGAACGCTGACGTCCGGGAACCCCGGGCGCGGCGTCCCTAGGACGCGGGTACGTACAGTGAGAGGGCACGGGGGAGGGACCTGAGAGACGCGCCCCGCGCTATTTGCATGTAGCTACGGATGCTGGGAAATCACCGTAATGGTAAAATCGCTCTAGGACTGGAAACCTTATAAGAACTCAGTGGACCCAGCTTCCCCCATAAGGCGGAGGGAAGCTCATCGGTGGGGCTACGAGCTGAGTGCGTCACGTCACTCCACCCCATGTCCCCTGGGAAGGTCTGAGACTAGGGCCAGCAGCGGCCCTAACAGGGCTCTCCCTGAGTGCGGGGAGGTGAGTTCCCAGAGAATGGGGCTCCGCGCGAGGGCAGACTGGGCAGGAGATGCCGTGGACCCGCTCCCGGGCGGGCCCGGCGGATGCCTCCTTAAGCGGAGCTTGGAACAGACTCACGGCCGGCGCAGTGAGTTCAATGGCTGAGGTGAGGCACCCCGCGGGGGCCTCATAACCCAATTCAGACTACTCTCCCCCGCCATTTTTAAAATTTTCTAGCTAGGTATAAAAAGTTATTATATTTTATATAATCAGTCAAATATTTATAAAGTCAGATAATTTTGGAGATAGGGAAAAAGTAATAAAGTTTGAAAATTTATAAAAATAATAGTATAAACTTCCTTTGTGTAGTAGACACTGAGTTAAGTATTTCACACACAACCTTTGCTTAAGGTTCATATTATTAATTGGTAAGATGTATTTCATAATAACTACTAAAGACCTTTACACGTATTATTTCTCACAATATCCACGTGGGGCAGGTGTTAGTACCCCCATTTTGCAGCTGAGGAACTTGAACTTTGTAAAAATTTGACTTATTCAAGATCACACAGTATATTGCTAGGACTGCCAGAACTACATTACAGAGACGTAGTAGTTTATATTTTTGGAGAGGTTTTTGTTATAGGGCACGTGTGCTCGCCAGAAAGAGAGACACAGAGAGACAGAAAGCAGGAAATCCCCCGCCAGAGGGTGCCACAATCCCTTCTCCTCCATTCTCGGGATCCTGGGCACGCACGCACACGCACCCGGCGCGAGTTTAAGCCACCGGGTCCAGGACTTGAACCACGGTCAATTACATGGAGTTCAGCGACATAGCCATTACACCAACTACTGGCCCTGAGAGTAGTAGTTTAAACCTAAATTTATTTTCTTCTAATTGTGGAGGCTGGAAGTCTGAGATAAAGGCGTTGACAGTATTTGGTTACCAACTGGGAGAATCTCATAATGGATTGTTATGAATATTAAAACCTATGGGACCAGCAGTTGGCGTAATGGCTATGTCGCTGAACTCCCATGTAGTTGCCCACGGTTCAAGTCCCGGACCTGGTGGCTTAAACTGACGCCCGGTGTTTGTGTGTGTGTGCATGCGTGCGTGCGTGCCCAAGATCCCGGGAGGAGAATGGCGGAGAAGGGGTTGCAGCTTGGCCATCCCCTGGGAAATGATTTGTGTCTCTTTGTCTTTCTGGCGGGCTCACGTGCCCTATACCAAAAACTTGTCTAAAAAAAAAAAAGGATGCCTGGAAGACAGAATAAGTGGTAGACACCTGGTGGTATATGTTTTCTTTCTTTATGGTAGATTCCATGTATATGCACATGAGAGTAAGGGAAGGGGGGGCAGAGAGAGAGAGAGAGAGAGAGAACAGCCCCCTCCTCAGCATTTGGTCAAGTGGCCCTCCCCTTCCTCCACTCTGCCAGCCTGCTGGATTATGGGCACTTTGGTGACTGCCTAGTGTGTTTCTGGCTGACCAGGGCAATAGTGTAACTGTGGTTGCCACGTGGGATCTAGCTGCTGCTTATTTTAACCTTTTTATTCATTTATTTGACAATCGAATCAGGGATATTGCCATGTGTATAATTTTCAATAGACTTTTTTACATTCTTGAGTCTTTTAAGTGTTTCTTTTTTTCTTCCCCCTCTGGGGATCTAGCTTCTCTGTAGCAACACTTTACCTTTGTGCCACAGAGCCAGCCCTAATGGGATTTTTAAAAAAGTTTTTTTACTTTTATTTATTTTTAGAAAAATCTTTGCTACGGAGAACATGTGCTTGCTAGAGAGACAGAGAGAGAAAAATCACCCCAGACAGAAATCAGTGCATATTGGTCAAGTCAGAGATATTATCATATACATTACCAACAGAGAACTTTTCATTTTTGTGTAGCTCTTTGTTTAAAAAAAGAATTATTTATATGATTTTATTTATTCTTATTATTTCAATTTGCTACAGAGCTCATGCACTCACCAGAGGAAGAGGGAAAGTGAGACAGCAAGCTGCCCGGTCTGGGACTTGAACAGTGGTAGGCCATGTGGGAGTCCAGTGCCTTAATCACCATGCCATCTGCTGGCCTTATTTTTGAGTCTCTTCAGTGTTTTTATTTGTTTATTTTTTCCCTGATCCCCTTCCTCCTACTCTCTATTAATTATCTACCCCCTTCTATAGTGTCTCTAGTATCTAGTTACCCTCCTTGCTGTTAAACCTTCCAGTCTTTCTGTTTCTGCAGTAGAGTGCAGACATTGGGTATTTATTAGGAAACCGAAGCTTAAGCGTGTGCAAGGAAATAACAAGCCTCAGATTCAAACTTAGCTAAATTCGACTCTGAAGCCTGAATTCTTAGCCATCCATCTTTAATCCACTCAGCCTGTTGACTTGACCATTCTGAAGGCTGAGTTCTATCTCGAATGGATCTACACTGTTTACAATGGAAACTGTTATGTTGCATAAATGAACTATGTGAAGATCATCTAGGAAAGAATGTTATCCTGAGGATGAAAACTTTGTAATAAAATGTAGGAGGCTCATTTAAACAAGAATACATATAAAATAGCTTAAATTAGCCTTTTTTTCCCATGCTAAGTTCATTAACCCAGTGGACACTAATTTTAAGTAGTTCAGCCTAAAAAAGTAGAAGAAGCAACTGGTCCACCAAGAGATGAGTGAAGGAGGGAGTTGTATCATTTCAGCACCTTTTAAGGTAAAGGAGGAGGGGATCTTCTTTGAACTCATTAGCCAATCAGGTTCTGAGGCCACTTCTTAAAGCCACTTCCTGTCTCTCCACTTTCTCTCTCTCTCCATTTTGGTGGGCTGGTGAGTGTGCACTTTAATTTTGCTCTCTACTTGCTTTGAATTTCTCTTCTATTTGAGCCACATACCCGATGGCAGGCCTTTATCTTAAGCCAGGGAAGGCGTTAGTGTGTGAGCTGCTAGGTAGTTAATTTTGGCTGTGTGGAGTTCGGGGGAAGGCAGGAGGACACTGAAATGCTCTGCCTGGCTTGTTTCCACGTGGGCCTCTGCAGTACAGGGTTTGCTTTACTTCCTGAGACCTGGTGACTCAGGAGCAATAGACTGCTTCATGTAGGGTGCTTGTATTCTTGGAAAAGGTCGGGCTTCATTTTGTTTGGAGGGAAAGCTGTCATCAAGATGCTGTTTTGATTTATATCTCCCTGGGTGAGGGTAGAACTAGGGAGTTCACCTCTTCGTTTCAGTTCTCTGGTTCATGTCTACGTATAAGGCCCAGGGCCTGACTGGGACTGTGGGAGCTGTAGCAGACATTGTCTTTGCCCTGGATTTTGCTCTGAGCATTCAGCTCTCTTGGTGAGACCAGGTAACAAACAGATGATTTTAGTGACGCGTCTGAGAGGAGCTCTTCATTTTAAAGTTGTCACTGCGTTGAGGTGTCCTAAAAGCTTAAGATAAACTTGGAAAGATCAGTGACCGTAGCTTAGTGCAAGCCTAGATTCAAATTCCAGTGCCCTAGTTTACTGCTTCTGGTGACCTTGGGAGAGGCAGCCAGTCATTCTGGAGCTCAGTGTGTGAAGCTCACTGTCTAAAATATGTTCAGTATCTTTTGGATAGTGATAGTCACTGTCTAAAATATGTTCAGTATCTTTTGGAAGTGAGCAGTACTTATGTATTTACAATAAATATTTTGGGTATCATTTTTCTCAAAAAGTTTTACCTAGGTGACCTTGAGTATAATTTTATTGTGTTCTTATTCTCTTTGTTAAATATTTATTAATTTGAATATAATGTATGTGTTTATCATTACAGGTAGAAAGTATGAGAAAGACAAATAATAAACTAGTTACTTAAGGTAGTAATGGGTATTTGTAGGTCTCCCATAATTCTTATAATTCTCGAGTTTTATTGGTCAATTAATTTTATTCTTTGATTAGGTAACACATTTACATGGTTCTAAATTCAAAAAAGATCAAAGATCTATTCAATGAAAAGTCTCTTACCCCTGTTTTATTTTTCCCAAATAATTATTTGACTTTATTAATCTTGTTCTTTTTTTTTTTTTTTTTTAACTGAACAGAGAGAGACAAAGAAAGTTTGGAAAGTGAGAAAGTAAACCATCAGGTTCAGGACTTAAACTGTGGTTACCCAAGTAGCAGTCTAGTATCTTATCCATGCCACCTGCCGGCCCCACCCCTGTTCTTTTTTAGTTTTTTTGCCATAGAGTGCTTGCCCTCGCGGGAGAGAGGCAGACAGTGAGAAGGCGTTAGTGTGCGAGCTGCTAGGTAGTTAATTTTGGCTGTGTGGAGTTTAGGGGAAGGCAGGACACTGAAATGCTCTGCCTGGCTTGTTTCACACTGCAAGGGGGATAGCCAAGCTATATCCCTTCTCCATTCCCATCGGAATCTTGGGCATTTATGCATACATGCTGGTGTGATTTTTGAAACCACTGGGGCCAGGACTCGAACTGTGGTTGACCATGTGTGAGTCTAGCTACATAACACTTATACCACCTGCTGACCCCCTCTCCCCCACCCTTTTTTTTTTTTTTGAGAGGTTTTGTAGGGCTCGTGGGCTCGCCCGACAGCGACAGGGGGGCCAAAAAA